CCAATCTATCCTTACATTTAAAATGTTGCAGTCTTCTATCAAAACATTAATCCAGGTGTGATCATTAAAAGCAGAAAATCTGTATATTGGTTTTTAGATAAGCATCAAGCAGATGTGCAATCTACTTGAAATGCATAGGATACAACATGCACATATTAGCTCTCTTTAAAATCATTCCTTAAGACTGAGAACATGGATTGTACATAAACATATACTTTTGGGTCTGCAGTCATACTAATGTTGGCATAGTTAGTAGGCCATGGTGAAAGAACACACTGAGTCAGAATTCTACTTCCACATAGGAAGTAAGGCATATTTTACACAAAATGTAACTATTTGCTTTCCTGTCCTGCATGAAGGGAATTATTTCTTGGGAAATACCACAGAACAAAATCAGGATACTGTCCACTGACAGCTCTGATTATTTTGTAGCCACAGCTAAAGAAAACTGTTAATTTATGCTATTCTGTTTAATCACTGTTAAAATACAGAGGAGAAGATGCAGAGACCTACAGGAGAAATGTCTAGCCTTGCATTTACTCCATGTGAGCAGAGAAAAAGCATTAGTCAAAGTAGCCACCTTTCTGCTATGGTCAGGACAGAGAGAATAATTTGTATTTAGGATTGTCTGGCTTGGTGTGAGGCATTGCCACTGCACAGGCAAATGAACTGCACGCTAATTTAAGCAGTGCCACAGGCCAGTGCTTGCACAGCATGTGCCTTACCTTTTCCTTTCACAGATGTGGCATGAACACAGCAGTACACAGTAGCACCATTTTCTGTTTAAACCCTGAAATGAAGAATCTCTTCCTTTCTTTTGATGGTGTTCATGTCACCAGAGTGCTATGCTGCTGGCCACTTTGCCATACCCCAAGATGTTAATTTTGGGCTGGGTGAAGCACAACCCTGCTGACACATAAAGCATAGGAAAATAACAAACTCTGATTATATCCCCAAAATATCTTTTTTAGAGGGCAATCATGTGGTAAATTATCATAAAATGATTTGGATTGGAAGTGACCTTAAAGACCATCTGTTTCCAACCCCCTGCCACGGGCAGGGACACCTCCCACCAGAGCAGGTTGCCCAAAGCCCCATCCAGCCTGGCCTTGAACACTTCCAGAGATGGGGCATCCACAGCTTCTCTGGGCAACCTGTGCCAGTGCCTCACCACCCTCTGAGTGCAGAATTTCCTCCTAATATCTAATCAAAATCTACCCTCTTTTAGTTTAATGTCATTACCCCTTGTCCTACTGCTACAGTCCCTAATATATAATATCTCCCCTTCTTTCCTGAAGGCCCCCTTTAAGTACTGGAATAAGTAGGGCCACTACAAGGTCTCCCAGCAGCCTTCACTAGACTAAACAACACCAACTCCCTCAGCTTGTCTTCATAGAAGTGCTCCAGCCTTCTGATCAACTTTGTGGCCCTACTTCAATTTTACGTATCCGTTTTGTTATTTACAGTAATTAATGATTCCAGAATGAGGAGCAGAGTTAGAGATGGGGAAGTGTTTTTGCTTTGTTAACTGCTGTTTTTCTGTTTCGTCTCTTTGCAGGAAGAGAAGCTTAACAAATTCATGTTTAGCTCAGGCTTAGTATATGAAATTATCCTAAGCACATGAATTGTGAGCACTTTTATCTTCATCCTGTAATCTGGTAAAAATTTAGGTCTTCTCTGACATGTTGTTAAACTTTCCCTTATGATACAACCATTGACGTAATGTAGGTGGACTGTTTGGTAGTCATACAGTTTTCTCTAATTTGCTGCCCACCCATGAGAGAGAAGCAAGTAGGGAGATCTTTCAAACTTAAAGTGCCCTAAGTTCAAAGGTGTATTTGTGGTGGATCATTTTTGAAAAGACACTGAGCATACTGGACAAAAGTAATGCACCTTCCAATTATTTTGTCATGTCTTACAGCAGATGCAAAATTAAACATCTGTCTCTTTGATAAGCACTAGCATTGATTTTCAGTTGTAAGTAATTTTTCATATAATATTCTGTTTGATGTAAAATGGACCTTTATACCTGACTGCTAAGTCACTGCACTTTATTTTTGCCTCGGCTATGTTAGTGTAAATGCATACCAATAACACTCTAATGCAGGGTTTAACCCTTTTGTACAAGAGAGAGGATTCAGTTCTCAGAGTATTCAGTGAAGAATTCTTGTTATAAAATATGATATTCCAGAAAATTATTAGTCACTGTTTATTATCAAGCATTATCTGCCTAATATTGCCCCCGTTTTATATATAGTGAACACTGATTCCTAGCGTTTTAATATTTTTTTCCAAAACTTTTCAATCCTCAGGAATATTTTCAATACCAATACAGTGATAATTTTAACACAAATTCTCTGTTTGGTTTCTGTGGTCATCACTGAAGTATTTGATTGTGGAATGTTTCAGAGTCTCAATGTGTGGGAACTTACTTATTTCCTTAATTGTCCACTTGGAAGAATCTGTTTCCATACTCAAGTATGGTGTATGACCCAATAGGCAAAGAGGATATTTTAAGGACTAAAGATTGTTGTTGGATTTTGTTGTTGTTAAGTTTGTGCTCTTGAAGTCTAGCTAAATTTAGATAGCAGCTTTTAAAGCTTAGAAAACAATAAGTTGCAGGACTATCCCATTTGACCTCTCTTTTTATATATATAAGTTTCATGGAGATTTTTGCCAGTGCTCATCCATTTCCTGTTTTCTGACAAAGAGTACGCCTCCAAATCAACCTGCAATTTATGAACTGGATATACTGCAAGCTCACTAAAAGCAATAGTTTTGAAAGATGGCTTTTTTATTGCTTGTTTCTTTAGTCCATCATGTTCCTGGATCAGGAACCCAGGCATGCTTTCTTGTTTATTTTTGTAAGTGCTACTTTTTTTTTTTCCTGTCTTTCTTTTCTTTCCTCTTCTTCCTTCTCTTTTCTTTCTTCTTCCTTCTTTTTCTTTCTCTTTTTGCTTTCTTTTCTTCTTTCTTTTCTTCTTTTGTCTTTTTCTACCTCCTTTCTCTTCTTTCTGATACACAGAGCTAGACTGTTATCCTATTTACTGCTATGATTAATTTGGCCTATCCCTTCAATATCCTTTAAATTATTTGGGAAATCCTCCGGCATGTGAATGGTCAGTATGTATTTTACTTATATATACATATATATATATATTTATTTATTTATATGTAAACATATAAGTAACTGTTAATAATTGTTCCTCTAAATATAAAACTCTTATGTGCAACTTCTTTAGCCTCAACTACTGTTGAGAGCTAGAACAGACTAATCTTTCAGAATAAGGTGTGGGGTTTTTTGTTTTGCTTGTTTGAGAGTGGATGTTCACAGTCATAATTCATTTCTGTTTTCTTCTGTGGTAGAGTGATGGCTTTGTAGGGAGGAAAGTTCTGCACAAATTTGTTGATTAACCCTGGTTCACTGGCTGTGGTAAGAAACCCTTTTTGGGACTACATATATGTAGAAGTGGGGGCACAGGAGAATCCATACTTTGTTTGTTAACCTTAGCAGTAAGTAGACCTAGAGTTTACAAATTACTTCTGGCCAAGTATTTTTGGTTGTCGTTTAGGTGCATGCTTTGTCTCTGTGGTACTGCAGTATTGCTTAATTAGTATTTTACCCTTGCTTACTTAGTTGAAAAGTTCAGTTTGTCCCAGCTAATCTTTAATCCACAGCAACTCCCCAATGTATTTAGTGTGCTGAATATATTGAGTAGTACATGTTGAGGCTGGAATAATAAATTAAAAGGTTATGTGTGTCCAGTGAAATATGATTAGGGATCTCTGTAATTTGCAATCCTCTGAACTTGGATACGTGCTGGCAGCAGTTCTATACTGAAAGCCTGTAGTACACATGTGCTGGGTCAGCCTTGGCTAAAGATGGAGGCTCTGAGGCTCTGAACTCCTACCCAGCTGCTTCCTCACTTCCCCATCTCAGCAGGACAGGGGGAGAGAATAGGATGAGAATGCTTGTGAATCAAGATAAAGACAGTCAGATTGCTTACTTATTACTGTAGAGGGCAAAGGAGACTCAAATTGGAGAAAACTAAATTTATTGCTAATGATAATAGATTTTGGAAGTTAGAAACAAAGACAAACTTTTAAAAAACACCCTTCCTCCCCCTTTTCTCATTCACAACTTAATTTCTTCACTTGAGGTCCCTTATACCCGCCCCTGAGCAGTACTGAGGAGGCGGTATTGGTGAGTCACTTCTCTCTTCTGATCCTTCCCTCTCATACTTTTCCCCTGCTCAGGCATGGGTTCTCACCGTGGGCTGCAGTCTTTCAGGAAGAACCTGCTCCAGCATGGCCTCCTCATGGGCCACAGTTCCTTCAGAGAGTATCCACCTGCTCCACTGCAGCATCTTCCATGAGCTGTAGGGGATATCTGCTCAAGTGACATAAAGCTCCTTCTCTTCAACACCATAAAGCACCTTCTTCTTTGACCTTGGTGTTCCCTCTGCTGTTTCTTACTCTCTTTGTTCCCACCTCCTCTCTCTGACATTTGTTTATCCTTTCTTAAACATGTTTTCACAGAGGCAACTGCACACCTAACTGATGGGCTCAGCCTGTGGTGGGTTTGTTGCAGAAAAGAAAAGAAAATCTCTATGATGTGCTTGAAAATTAGAACCATAATAAATAATGCTACATGTTAACTAACCTAAGAGTCTGGAATGACTGCGATGACAAAAAGGCTAGTTTAGGTGGAGATATTTTAGGTAATGACTGCCAGAATGTTGTAGGATTTCTTCCTAGAAATGAAATTGCTAACAATTGGGGTTCTTACAGTGAAGTTATAGAAATTCTGGCCTAAGATTTACAATAATGTTCCCTGTTAGAATATATTCTGAGGAAGTTTTCATTATTTTAGGTGGGCTAGAAATGAGGTAAAAAGCTCCCTCAGTTCTAAAATCACTTGCATATGTTTTTGACTCAACTCTCTGACTTTAGGCAAAAGAAGGTTTCAGTTCTTCATCAAGGAAAAAAAATAAGCAATCTCAAACATAAAGTTGGTTTTATTTGTAAAGAATGAGTTTGTACATTTGTTTGTAAAATTATTGCTAATGGTACATATCAGATAGTGTTTGAGCAATCTTGAAAAGAAAGTTATGTAGAAAGACTGCCCTGTATTTGAAAGTCTAGTTTTATGTTACAGAGAATGTGTTCTGTAAAATTCTTAGTCACTTTAGACATAGCCGAGATTTATGATGTTGAACTGACTTTGCTGGGTTAACTAACAGAGAGCTATTTCAGACTAACTTTAAGTTGGTGGTATTTTTTTACATAGTGACACTTGAAAATTCTAGTGATTCTTTTTGGAATGCAGGGGGAAAATAAATAAATAAATAAATTTCCCTGAAGTACTGAGAAAGCATGAGAATGTAATCTATGTGTGTACTAGTATCCCCACACAGTATTATCCTGGGACATAAGAAAAATTCAAACTACTTCATTACACATTTTTTGACATTCATTTGTCCAAAGAATAGTTTTCACAAGATAACAGTAGTATAAAAATAAAGCTGTAACTTAAGTTGTTTAAAAGACTATCTAAAGATGTAATAAATTTCTCTGTTAGAAACTGTTTTCAAGTAAAAAATAATTTGTCTTGCAACTCTGCTTACAACGAGGAAACAGCAAACAAGGATCTCTGGCATGAATAGATTTCTGAGCTCTCTTGGATATGTTTATGTCGCAGCAACAGTTGTGAGTGAATATTTTTTGAAGTAAACATCTTTTCCTTGCAGAAATGTTGTCCAGCTGTACTGTTCAAATTCTAGCATATGAATCAGAGTCCCAAATGTTGTGCAAAAACTGGTCTGGAAGACTTTCTGGCAGCATCTGAGGAGTTAAAAATAGGTGAGCATTATTTTGCCTTTTTGGAGGATAAGATATTTTCATAAGGCTTTTTTTTTTTTTTTTTGCTCTTCCAAATAATTGTAAGATCTGTTTCATGTAACTGTATTTATAATTGATCTTACTCTGTAGTTTATTAACAGAAAATTTTGATGCAGAGTTAGGGTTGTCTGGAGGTATAATCATACCCTTCTGGAATGGCTGGTGCAGCAAAACTCAAACTCTGATGACCAAAAATATGCAGAGAACTTCAAGTACTACAGCTTCCACAAGACAAATATTTACACTGAAGTTGTCTCAGTTGTAGCTGCTGTGAATGTTGGAAAACTTAACTAGAGCAGTTTAGCAGAGAAAGAATGACACAGTCTAGAAGAACTACACTGTGTTGGAATAGAGTGAACTTTTTCTTACATGGAGATGCACATGATAAGAACAAAGGAATGGACACTTAAATTGAAAGATTTAATATTTCTCTCCAATGCTGTTTCAGCTGCAGAACCTAGGGTAGACTTGCTGTTGAAAGCAGTTAGGTTGGAGATGAGTGTAGTCTGGGTGTTTAATGAGAGCAAAATGGAGTGTAACACCCTTAAGTAGAAGAGGGCTGTAAAATAAAGCACATACAGAGTGGTTTTTTTTTTCCATGAAGCAAGAAAACCTTTGACTGTGGGGCAAGGGTACAGCCATATCTTCTTCTATATTTCTTATAAACAAAGGTATTGGTGGCATGGGTTGCTGTTAAAGCAGTGTCTGAGTGTTTATGCTTCTTAATTCTTACTCCCTACTTCTGAGAAGCTTGAGATTTGCTAATCTCTGCATTCATGGACATGATATTCTGTCAAGGAAATAGCTCTGTGTTACTCTTTTATTTCTAAATTTCTTAGGGTTTTGTCAATTGTGGTGGTTATAAAGTACCTTTAGTAGTTACTGATCAGTTACCAAGATAATTTGCTGTTGAAATGCTGTTCGTATGTAGGCAGGAAGAAAAGAGGCTCTTGTTTTAACATATGGTACACCTTGTTACAGTGGAATGGACATTTCAGTCATGATTTGCAGGCTTGGAAGGATGTAGCTAACAGTTTAATGAGAGGAGTCACAGATATTTGTGTCAAAGTCCCAAATCTTGTCAGCTTTAATATTCAGTGATGCAATAACTTACAGGACCAGGACCAGGGTGATGGTGGTGGGAGGGATGTGGTACATTCTATACCTTCACCCTTTCCTTGTTACTCCTTATAGCATATCCTTGCTATCATTTTTCTGTCCCTTTATATCACTTGAGCTTAAAAATAAATATTCCTTGCTTTCTAGCAATAGCAGCAAACTCATTCAGTTATGTGGCCACCCCCAAGTAAGCTGTGCTGTGCCAGTTCGTCTTAGGGCCAGGGAATAATTACTTACCCTTTATTTTTATTTGTGAAGTAATAGAGGTCTTTGATAAGTCATCAGAGCAGGACTTTGGAAATTACTTTTTCATTTACCATGTTCTATGGTAGCCTGACAGCTGTCATCACCATCCTACTCAACTGCTAAGGAGCTACTAGAAGCTCCACTTCCCAGAGTCAGAAATTATGACTTCCAAATAACTGTTTCAGGAGCCCTTGGCTGTTTGTGATTGTCCTTTTTCCTGCATTAATGAGGACAAGGCATTGTTTTAATAGCTTGGTCTTACTGTCAGTCTCTCAACCACAGTGGTACTGTTACAGGTACTCTGCTGGAAAAGCTTGTGTTCCACCCACTGAAATAATTAATGCTTGCTTTGTGTAAGTTTATCTGCTTGGGATCACTTCACCAATGCTGAAACAAAACATTGACTGTCCAGAATTATCACTGCTTTCAGGAGATCCCAGAAGACTGAAGATTGTGGGGGAGTGGAGGGGAAGATGGGACATAACATTAAAATGACCAAAAAAAAAAAACCACAAACCACCACCCAACTACAAAACAAACAAACAAACAAAAAAAACAACTATAACAAAACAAAAAAACTTATGTCTTTAAGGCAACGCTTAGTTAACACCACTTCTTTATATGTCATAGCTCGATAACTTAAAACTTCAAAGCAACTTAGGAAATGCTATGAATTCTAAGTTTCCCAAGGTAGATCTTCATAATTTATTAGTGATATAAAATACTAGAGACTGAGGTTCTAAAAAGGAATTATGTCAGTGATAAAAATACAGTACATCCAAGGGATTTTGGTTAAGTTACTTTATCCAAATGCCTCATACCTACAGCTAAGAAGATTGTCAAATTTGAGAGAGGAACACTGTCTGAAGACATCTGTTAGAAATGTAAGAAGTCGAATAATACATGTAAACAGGAAACTTGTAACGGAAAAAAGTTGCAGAAATTATCCATAATGATGTAATTATCTTTGAATTAATTGCAGCAAGTTTGCCAAAGAAAACCCAGATGAATCATTTGAATCATTTGCTATCTTGTGAGTTTAAAGGATTCTTCCAAAATGTGATGTAAAAAGTCACAATTAAGGTTAAAGAGGAGAAGAAATTCCTGGCTGTCATAACTGATGATGATGAACATCTGCTGTTCAGTACTGTGGCCTTAGAGGACTGGGGAGTTCCATGTATTACTAACTGGATAAATATTAGTGACTTTAATGCTTGGAGATTGACCAAAAGAATGATTTGATTTGTCTGTATACTGACCAAAAATAGTAGGTTCTATTAATTATGAGAAATATTGGGGATTTTTTTGGGCTGGAGAGAAAACTTGTTGCGAAAATGATGATGCAAAATATGGCAAACTAGCAGGACTAATATGTCCTGTCTTACTCCAAGAATACAGATGTCAAGTGAACTGAAGGAAGTATATGGATCTTAGTAGAGCTAGGAAAGGCAACTTTTAAATAGAATAGCTTCTCAGTTTTACCTATGGCACAGATAGCAAACTGCTATGATAAAATATTGTATTGTTGTCATATTGTTCCTATATATTTGCTCCATACTATTCCTGTGAGAAATGCAACAAAACATTGATAGCCATCCTGTTGTGGTGTTGCCCACATTAAAATGAGAAAGGATGGGAAGCAGAAAAGATTCGCAAGAATGAGAGGGTACTTAGTGTGGGTTGACAGTAGAATCACAATATTTGTGATGCAGGTGTCTAGACAAATGAACTGACTAACTATTGTACATACAATCTAGGTTCTCAGAGTGTGTAGCTATTTGATAATCTAGTGCTATGTGGTGTAGGAGAGACAGTTTGTAGCATACCTCTTTACAAGTGAGTTTACCTGGAGTCCATAACCTACCAGACAATAATTTTATGTTTAAATGTCTTTTATCTTGCTAATAAAGTAGATAATACTTCCAGAAACATTCACTGATGCTGTTGTGTCATAGGAGGTTTATGTTTTGTTCCACTGTAGCCACTTGAATCTGCTATGATCTGCTGCACCTTCATGTCTATAATTCCTACTTAGAGTCACTAGTACTGAACAATGGAATAGCTCCTTAGTACTTAAAAATGTAACTATCAGCTGACATGTTGCTATAGCTACATAAAATGACTGTTAGTACATATAGTGAATATAGTATTTGCATTCCTTTTTAAGTGTTACCACTGCACATTGTGCTGACACACTGTGTCTCCGAGCTTTTGCTCGTGGACTTTGAATGGATCCTGAAGTATGTTTCTAGCTGTTCTTTTTCTCACATAGCTATATGAACTAAGATGGATAATCTGAAATTGCTGCTGAGCCCCACACCAGCTACTTCACCATGAGCAAAGAATCCCCCTTTCAGAGTTATATTTGCCCCAGAACAGAAAATCTCCCAATAAAAGAGGTAGCTGCATTTCAAAATTTGCCTTTTTCCACTACCATTCACGATTCTGGCTTTCACAAAGTTCTCATTTCTATATTGAACTATCGTCAGTGAACACTTCTATTAACCCCTTAAAAGGGGATTTGAATGAAGACATACCATCACTCAAGTCTCGTGAGTTAGCTGTTTTTGCCGGGACAAACCAGTCCCTCAGCTGCAGACTTGCAGTACTCTACTACCCTTCTCTTTCATAGAATCATAGATTGGTTTGGATTGGAAGGGACCTTAAAAATCATCTAATTCCAGCCCCCCCTTCCATGGTCAGGGACACTTCCCACTAGACCAGGTTGCTCAAAGTTTTTGACTTTGAAGCCATAGTTAAAAGCAACTAACTGGGTTTAACTGAAAACCGTAATAGGAATAAAAATATTATAAGAGAGCCAACAGACCTGCAGGAAAAATGGGCCTCAGCTTGTTTTTTGACAGTAGTTCACTGAAGGAACACTAATAGGAAAATAAAACAAAACAAAACAAAAAAAGGGCAAAAAACTGTCAGGATAAACAACAAAAACAAGAGATGAGCTAAGATCTTCTGGGGAATGCAGATCGTAAAATTATAAATTTCAGCTAACAGAAATAACTATAGCCAACTGCTTTAATAGGATAGGATAATTCTATATTAATGATAATTAAAGAAGAGCTTTTATCTGAAACTCCATACAGTCATTCCTGAACTGATGTTCACAGGAAGGTTCCTAATGCAGATATCCTAATATCATCTTAGAAAATTTCACTGAAAGGCTGGTAAGTTAGGCAAAGTTTTTTCTCCAGGGGACTACATCTTAAGTACAGGGGGAAAAAAAAAAAAAAAACTTTTAAAATTCCTTCCATATATATTTTGTAAGTGATATTATTTGGACGTATGGAATTATGAACACATGCATTACAGAGATTTTGTTATTATTTTTTTTTTTATTGTAAGTAAGTAGCACTAGAAGTGAAGTTCTTTTCTTTTATTGTTGGCGATAATGTAATTTCTCTGAGGAATGTTTCTTGAACAGTCTTCATTCCCAGCTTTTCTCTTTTGGTCAGTGTATTATTTGCATTCCTTCTGTATAACCTTTACAAAATTCTGTATAAATTCTGTAAAACTTTTTTCTTCATATTCTTCACATTCTTTACATTTTTTTGATGTTGTGGAACTCAACTGAAAAAGAAAATGCGATAGTAAAGCAGGATACCTGATCTGTTTCTTCAGATAGAGAACTGTTGTGAATAATTCCAGTGCAGTCAATTACTACAGAAAGCACAGCTGGAGTCTTCCAAGGTACTCATGTTTTGTTCCTGGCTTGCTTCCTGTATAGCATCATCTTTCAAAGACACAGTGCTTCAGTGAGAGATCCAAGTGGCCTGTCTCTTTGAAAATTAGGATACTTCTGTATGTGTCTCAACATAAGTGACTTTAGATACTGAAGTTACAAACTACTATTTATACATACACATTCAAACACTTTGACATATGCGTGTGTACCCAGTCACAAGTATTTTTGTTGATAGGAGTCGTACAAGTGGCTTTATAAAAATCACTGAATTCTGCTCTTTCATTTTTATCTGTGTAGCCTTTTCATTATTGTATGTTTGGGTTATTGATTCCCATTTTGCTTTCATATGTACCATCTCACCTTTTGCGTATCTGTGAAAAACAAAAGTTCTGCTACTGAAGAAACACTTTTTTCCACAGACTGTTGGTACTACTTACCTCATTTTTAAAGCTTGCATTTCCATTTTTCAATATGTTGTATACATCCTGTGTTTTACTACAATTTTTGATATTACATTCATGAAGAATCACGTTCATCTCTAAGAAAAAGCATCTCATTATAGGTTCTTGGCATTCTTTCTGGAAAAAAAAAAAAAAAGAAAAAGAAAAAGAAAAAAAAAGTTTTAGTAGCTTTAAGGTTAAAATGGAATACCTGAATGTAGGATATAATTTACCAAGAAGTAGTTAATTTTTATTTACTGGATATCTCTTCTTACTGTTCAAGTACCTTCAAATATCTGCAAAGATAGATTCAGAGAGCTAATATATAGGCCAGTCAGTTTCCTAGGACAAAGTTAAACTTTGTGTCTTGATGAAGAAAATAGGAAAACAATTAATCAGGCTAGGGATTTGGAATACAATTAACAGTAACGGAATTAAATAAGTATTGTTCTTAGTAGTTCTAGCACTTTCATTCAGAGATCTGAATTCAAAATAATGAAGAATGGGGGAGGAGAGAAACAAACAAACAAATTATTAGTTGTATTACACAAATAAAGAAAAAAAAAAAACGGGAACTGATTTCTCCATTGCCAAGAACAAGCCCCAGGTAGTATGACTTTCAGATCAGGCCTTCCCACTTTAAGAAAATCTTCCTGACATTACCAGCCAATAAATTCACTTTTACAGTGCATTAACTTCTGTATTCAGTTATAAGGGAATTAACTTAATTTCAGTTAAGGGAATGGGTGAGCAGGTGCGGACATACATGTTTTGTGACCCTTTTCCCCATAACGTACAGAGCTAACTGCACGGATACATTAGACTCTGTGCCTTTTCAGGCTTGCCAGTCCACTGAACACATCAAATTTACTGTATTCCACATGCACACTGAGACTATCCTGTGCTGATGTAGTAAGTAAGTAAGTCTATTATTTGTAGGAAATCTCTTGTTAACTTCTTATGTACAGGAAGTCATGTATTGTGTGTAGTTGGCATAGCCATTGTATGAATTTTTATGCTGCCAGGAAAAGCAGTTTCTCAGGAGGACTCTACCAGCATTGCCACAGCAAAGAATTCAGCTTATGTTCCACCAGGGCTATACCAAAAATGACTGCTAGACGTGGGGTATTGGCTTGATTCATTTTCTTGGTGGACTGTATGTGTCTCCTGGCGTGCTGACTGAGTTCCACAATAACAGATTATGAAATAGTCTCTTCAGGAATTAATTTATGGAAACTGCATTTCATGTGATCATATTTTAGGCAGATTTCTATAACTGGGTTAAGAATTATATTTAAAAAAATAACTAAGTTTATTGGTTCCAGGATAAATTATAATCTCCAGCTATTAGAAAGCCAAATGCTTGATATTAACTTGTATTTGCTGATAAACTAAGGAATTGCAAAAGCAGAGAAATGTACTAGTAGATGTTGACAGTTATGTTCTATATGACACTTTTCCCGTATTTTCTTATTGTAATATTGTAGTGCATGGTGTTAAATAATAATCTCAGGAACTATTTTCTTTGTCACTCTTTTTCCCTTTTCAAATTACAAACAAATACCAACATTATTGTTCAGTGTTTATTTTAGTAAGTTCCTTTTCCATCATCCCTTTTAGTCGATTAATTGTAATAGCAGGTAATTCGGTAAAAATAACACCAGCTTACACAGTTCAATATAAGTAATTCAGGTAATAGAACTACTTTCCAAGGAAAATGATCTGGTTTCTGAAACTTTTCTCAAATTAGACCAAGGCTACCTTAGGAGAAAATTGCTAGCAAAGAAATGAAGCTACTATATTAGACCAGTTTGGGTTAAATTTTAATTTTACTTACATCCTCATCTGTGTTTGCTGTATATAAACTGACATCAATGTCCTAAAAGAATATGAGAGGTAGAATTATGAGCAACAACTAGCAGACCTTAGAGATAATAAACAAATATTAGAGACATGGATTAGCTCCAAGTTGAAACGGTCAATCAAGCTAGCTACAGAGAGTCAGTAAGTCAGGAATCTTAGTCATCTAGTAACCTGCAGAATGGGCTTCACTGTGAGGAAGCTCAACAGAATTGCGTTCTGTAAGTACTTTTTCAGAAGGAACTAACTTCCATGCCCTCTACCCCTTTCCTTAGGAGATGGTTCTTTTTGCTCTACCCAACTAAAAAAAAAAAAAAAAATCAAATAAAATATTCAAAAAAGAGAGAATGAAAATAATAATTAATTCTAGAATCTACCATATTTGTTCACCTCCAGTTCCCTTCAATCTTCTACTCCCCCTCACTTCCACCCACAAAACAGGACTATACCAACATCCCATTTCATACTCTTTGCTACTGACACTCTTAACTGAGTACTGTGCTAAATGTTTAATTATGTCTGCTCCTATGTTTATATGAAATGTTGACTTTTTAATGAACTTACTTTGGATGTCTTGATCTGCTCCAAATCTTTCAGAACTTCTGTCCACTTGCAGTGATCTCCCTCTGTGTTTGGTATATAAGCACTAGACCAGAAATAAAACAGTGACCACTAGGCTAAGTAGTAGGTACACACATTGTTTCTGCTGAAAAAAGAGTAACAGATTATTCATATACTAAAGATATGCTGTTATATATATGGTAATGTGTGGGTCAAGTACATTTGAAAATCATAAAATCTACTGATGTATAAAATATATATCACAGAGCCAGACTATAAACAGTCAGCAAATTTTTTCAAAGGCTAGTTCTATAAGACATAATGAAAGAGAAATGTTCAACTATTTTTTGCAAAATATCTACAATTCTTGCAAAGTATCCTCCAAAATTACAAATTTCTAGGTCTCTAATACTGATTTTTTCCCCCTCTACTACTATGGAATTTATATCTTTAGCCCTGTAGAAATATTGTGTGTCCTTTTATATGTGTTTTGTTTTTGTTTGTTGTGTGTGTGTACAGGAAAGCTTTCTCCTGCCATAGATAAAATTTTACATGAAGTGAACCACTAAAGGGTGGAAGGAAAATTTTCTTCTCCTTTGGAAGATTTTTGGACTGTGAACTGTGGTTTTAATGTTTCCCTACTTGACTCATTAACTTGGATCCCTTTCGATACTGCTGTACAATAAGTAATATAAGGCAGTATAGGGAAAGAAAGACAACTAATTGTTTTGGGAAGTTGGTTTGAAACAAGCAGCTATTAAACACTTAAGCCTTAAACAGAGGCTCAAAAATTACAAGATTTTTGAGAAAGAAAAAAAAAATTATAACAAGAATCAGAGAAGGTTTGCTGCTTTTTTTCTTAATATCAGACCTTAGCAAAGAGATTTGACTGAAGGGGCAGTGTGAGGAGGGCATGTAGGCAGTAGAATCAATCAGGGCTGGTTTTCTGACACAGGAAACAGTGAGAATGGAAAGGAAGCATCTAGTATACATACATAAACCAGCATACACATTTGAATATGTTCACTTGTGGTTTGCTTTTTTTTTTTTGTATGTTTTTTTTTTTTTTTTTTTTTTTTTCATTGCAAAGACATATGGCAATTGATGGACGTCTTTAATTGCAACAATTTGAACATCTTGAGGGTTATGATGGAGATAAGGGCCAAGGTGCATTCTTGACTGGACTAAGCCTAATCAGAGAAAGGAGAATACTGTAAGGGACCATGGCCTAAAAAGCGCTGCAGGACTGCATAACGTGGCAGGAAAGAATCCACTTTCTAAAGCAAGTGGAGGCAACTGCAAGTAGTAGCTGTAATAGTAAAAATAGATCATTTGTGTTTACTACCTAATTTACATTAACTTTGTAGTTACCATAGGAAGAAGATGGTCAGTCCAGTCTTATTCTTCAAAAGGAAAAAGAAATGACTGTTCAGAAGAAGATACATATGGTATTGCAGACAAATACTTTTCAGGTGTGTTTTCTGAAAGATATAACCAGGAAGATAGCTCGTCACAATTTGATTTCACAGGATTTTGTTTACTGCTGACTCAACTAACCAATTTAACAAGGCATCCAATCAAGACAAGACTACCTGTTGAGTGTAGATTGAAGACCAACTGATTCATAGCTTGCAGATGTGTGTAATCAGTTTACAAAACAGTCAGTATAAAATCAGATACTGAAGTCAAAGTACAAAAATCCTAACTCATCCTGGGTTTCATGTTTCTCTATCTGTCCATACTGCAGGCTGCATTTTAATGTAGGAATGATATTAAAGATCTCTTGTTTTGTTTTCTGTCCTGCAGATCTTTCCTCTGGCTACCTACTTCCACCCAAATTTGATAAATTACCTACAGTAATAACATTACCTACAAAATTGTGGTTGTGTGTATATGAAATGCTACATATACATACATGAATGGCTGTACTTACATGTATATATATTAAATAAACTGTTCATATACAGTATATATTTATACTGTTATACATGCTATATTTACCTCTCATACCGGGAAGTGATTCATGCAGTTACGAATTCTTTCAGTGGAGTTGGACAACTGGAAATGAGGAGGTGTGAGCTGTGCCTTGACTGTCTTGTTGTGCACAGCCTAGGAAACTTTGTTCCAGAATCACAAGCCCTTTAATTTAAGCTGATACAGCTTCTTCACAGAGCTAGGTTAATTATCTGCAACTATTCTTTTTTGTCCAAAGTTTAATTTCTTATCATATGTACAACACTTTTATATTAACTAGCTCAAATTGTGTTTCTTTACCTGTGGTTTATTTACACAGTAATTTACAAGTGCATATTTAAAAACTGAACATAGCTTAAAAAAAAAAAAATAATCTATTGTCAGGTTTGTAGCTAACTTAGAATCATAGAATCATTAAGGTTGGAAAAGACCTTCAAGATCATCTGGTCCAACCATCACCCTACTACCACTGTCATTCACTAAACCATGTCCCTAAGCACCACGTCCAACCTCTCCTTAAACACCCCCAGGGACAGTGACTCCACCGCTTCCCTGGGCAACCTGTTCCAATGCCTGACTGCTCTTTCTGAGAAGAAATATCTCCTCATTTCCAACCTGAACCTCCCCTGGTGCAACTCGCGGCAATTCCCTCTAGTTCTATCACTAGTTATCTGTGAGAAGAGGCCAACCCCCAGCTCCCCACACCTTCCTTTCAGGCAGTTGTAGAGAGCCATGAGGCCTCCCCTTCCCCAGCCCAAACACCCCCAGCTCCCTCAGCCGCTCCTCACAGGCCTTGTGCTACAGGCCCTTCACCAGCTTTGTAGCTCTTCTCTGGACATTCTCCAGGGTCTCGATGTCCTTCTTGTAGTGAGGGGCCCAAAGCTGAACACAATACCCAAGGTGCAGCCTCACCAGAGCAGAATAGAAAGGGACGATCACCTCCCTACTCCTGCTGGCTGCACTATTCCTGACACAAGCCAGGATGCCATTGGCTTTCCTGGTCACCTGGGCACACTGCCAGTTCACGTTCAGGCAAGCATCTATCAGCACCCCCAGATCCTTTTCCTCTGTATAGCTTTTGAGCCGCTCTCTCACAAGCCTGTAGCGCTGCATGGGATTGTTGTGGCCAAAGTGCAGGACGTGGCATTTAGCCGTGTTGAACCTCATCCCATTGGCCTCTGCCCATCACCCCAACCTGCCCAGGTTCCTCTGCAGGGCCTTCCTACCCTCTGGCAGACTGACACTTCCCCCCAGCTTGGTGTCATCTGCAAACTTACTGGGGGTGCACTCAATTGCCTCGTCCAAGTTATCAATAAAGATATTAAAGGGGACAACACTGACCCCTGGGGAACACCACTTGTGACCAGTCACCTTGGTGCAAGCTGTTTAACTTATAAAAGCATATAGTGGTAAAATTAGGAAAATAATATTTATGTGTCCCAGGGCCCTTCTGAAGAGTCTGTAAAAAATATTTGTTACTGTTTTAAATAGAAAGTGTTCTAAAAACATTTCAATTATTTTGCTTCCAAAACCCACAGGTTTCACGGAAATAGCATAGTTACCTAGTCATCACATAAATTTCCACACTCAGTAATGGAAAACAGTACCAGACTCTTTTATCACTTTTGTGTTCAAAATCTGTTATGTAAGAAAAATGTAAATGAATGATAGATTATTTAAATTAAATTATGTCCAGATCAAGTAGTACTGCATCCATCTTCTAAACTATTTCAGTTATCTTTAAACAAAGTATGTCTAAAAATGAAGCTCAACCAGTTAATATTTCCACATAAAATGCAAATCTAAAATATGTGAATATTAAAACCAAAATATTAAGTAATAAGCATTACAAATATATGACTGCAATATTTAAAAAGTACATGCCACTTCACTATTATCAAAAACACGAAGTGATTTTGTTACAGTATTGCAGAAAATATGCAACCTTTCTGTAGTTAGTATTGTTTCATGTGATGTTTGTCATGTTTCTTGTAAATATAATGAACCAAAACCTTTTTCTTTTTTTATTGTTTTTATCTGCATGCTATTTGTTTTGATTTGATTTAACAGCCCTTAAAATATATCCTGTTTTCTGTTTGTTTGTTTGTTTGTTTGTTTTAATTGAAAAAACAGTATTATCAGGAATATCAAGGTACATATAAAGAAATTTAAAATCTTATATCTTGGCTACAGCTGAAGAAAACATTTTTTTATATTTAAAAATATTTTTAATAAAATTATTTAAAGTGTATTAGAGACAATTTGTAATAGTTAAACATTCTGTTCGTTTTAGAAGCTAGTTTTCCTCAAAATAGATAAGGTGGCTATAAATGAAAATATAAAGGACTTATGGTGGGTCCATAATTTGTATTTACTTGCTGATTGGCTTTGTGTTTCATAATTAGTATTATGGGGCCTTAAAAGCTGATTTCAGTGGGAGTTCCAGGCCAAATGCATTGTGAAATTTATGCTGTAGAACAAAGTGTTCAAGGAAAAACATCCATTATACTATCTAATGAATAATGAGCCAAGGTTATCATTAGTTTGTCATTTCTTTCCTTTTTTTTTTTAATAACTTTTGCTCACTATGATGACAATGGGAAACTGTGTTTCTAATGATTCACGTAAACCTCTTGATCTTTATTTTTCTTCAATATAGTAGATAACCATATTATCATAATGAAATAATTGTTTCTCTTTTGAAATATAAACTTAGTTTTCAGAAGAGAACTTTTACGAATTGAAATATATATATATATATATATATATATATATATAAAGTAGATGCATATTTTAAAGGGAATTTTGTTTGTTTATAGAGAAAGAGGTTTTTAAGGTCCAGTAGATCACCTAATACATTCCTTTCTACAATTCAGAGCAATATTCTACCATAATTTCTTAAATGTTTCATCCACTACTATTCAACAACATAAGAATTGTTAGCTCACTTACTTGCTTTGACAAATTATTCTTCTGCCTTGAATATACATTGTTGTAACTTTCCCTATGCTAGTGTTTATTTTTAATTTCTTACTCTGTTTACTTATTAACCAACTTTATTACACCACTAATACTTGCCCTTGTTTTACACAGGCATGAACTTTGGACTTTGAAAAGCAGAAGAGAAGAAGCAGTTCATTTTTTTGTTTTTATTTCCATGGCTTGCATTCTGATAACCTGCTATGCCAGAGTAAGTATTGAAGCCTTTGTACGTAAATATATATTATTTCAAGATGCAATTGAGAATTATAAAGCACAGAAATAATCTGTTTGAAAAAAAAAAAAAACAAACATACATATATCATTTTCCCATCACGAAGTTACAACGAAGTACTTATCATTAACGTGAGTAAAATGTAAGCCACAGTAGTACTATTTTCTCTCCTAAAGAAATCAACATATAAGCAAATGACAACTCTTCTTTACCAAGGCAAAATCAGCTGCTGATTCCTTCATTTTGTCTGTCATAAAAAACTATACATTAGTCAAAAGAAAATATTTGTAGCTCTATACAATATTTAAATTACAAGCAAAGGAAATTTCTGAAAGTTAAAATTACGTCTTTCCTTCCATACCACATATCTGAATTTCTTTATTAAGAGTTGCCTGTAAATTTCTTAGGGATTCCTTGAGATATGATATTTATAATTAGGAAAATTTAGTTCCTGTGCAAGCTGGTTTTATCTACACTGGTCCACTATTTTTTATTGCTTATGCCCATACTTTATTGCTATGACGTAAGATTGTCCTGCTGAGTCACTTTATCATATTCATGTAACTGTGGGACTCACAAGGTTGTTCTTTGTAGGGAAGAACTAAGCATTTTCATTCTTAGTTGGATAATTTATATCCTGAACCTACAAGCCCTCAAACATCTTTATTTGTGCACGTGCTTTCAATAGTGATCCTCAGTCTACAACGGCTGCTTTTTTTTTTTTTTCAGTGGAATCCTTTAATAAAGAAGTAGACAGTCGTCTCTCTGACTCCATTTTGCTAGACTGTTGCATTGGATCTGGTTGGGATGGATTTAATTGTCTTCATAGTAGTTTGTACGATGCTGTACTGTGGAGCTGTGACCATGTTTCTATGTTTCTCACGCCACCCTTCCAGCAAGCACATTAGGGTTGGCAAGATTTTGGGAGAGGACACAGCTGGAACAGCATATCCAAATAGATATTCCATACCATATAAATTCACACTTTAAAAAATGTCATGTAAAAGCAGGGGTGGGGTGATTTTTTCAGACAGTCATTGCTTAGAGAATAGCTGGACATTGCTCCAGTGGTGGTAGGTGACAAGTGATTGCTTTTGCATCACTTGTTCTTTGGTGTTTTTGTTTGTTCTTTTTTTGTTTGTTTTTTTAACTTATTAGGCTGTCTTTAGCTCAACCCATGAGTTTTCCTCTCTTATGTCCTTACACTTTTCTCTTCTGTACATCTGGCTGTGGAGAGAATGAGCAATCAACTAGGTGGGAACTTAGCTGTCATCCAAGGTTATCTCACCAGAG